AATTGTACTTAAAGAAGCCAACTGGGTCCAGGGTGAGGTGTGGGAACGGGTGCTGGAGTGGGTAGCGATAGAGGCCTTAGGGGCTCAACCTGGCAGAGCAGCCTTTGCAGCAAGAGAAGGCCCCAAGTGCCTGAGAGGCAGGACCTGTGCGGGCCCTGAGGACGCTAACAAAGCCCCAGGTTTTCTCCTTCTTTCTCTCTTCTATTTATACCCAGAAAGTTAACTTTGTTTCCTCAGAGATAGGGAAGGTGGACTCAGGCTTTGGACTGGCCTGCAGCTTTTCCCACTTTCTGCCCAGAACTTTCTGGTGGATCAGAAGGAGAGAGGTGGTGGGTCATGGCGTTGGGTTGAGGCCTCCTTGCACAGGCAGGCTGCTCAGGTGGCCTGGCTCACCAGCTTCCAGGACTGGACAGAGAGGCAGAAAAGCAGAATGACTTGCTCACTAGTTGGCACAAATCAGACCAAGAGAACTTACAATAGAAAGTTTATTTTTTGTGTTTCCAGTCAGTATTTTTTTTCCTTAAAAACAAATACAAAAAAAAAAAAAAAAGCTGATCACAGTTTGCTTAAAACAGCCAGACTTGGACAATATTTGTAACTTTGTTCACAAAAACATACATCACTGAAGCTGCGCTTATAAGAGCCACTTCCAGAGTTCGTGCAAAGGGTCCTACAAAGGCACGCAGGGGCACACCGCTCAGAGTCACAGTTTTCGTCACAGAGCCACTAGTCACTACACGTTGAACAAGTTAAGTTGTGTCTCATCAAGTCACCTCTACAACAGCATTAATTACACAGGGAATATAGGTAGTTTGAATAAAAATATCTTTAACAGCTTGGAGCTATTGAGACAGGAACACTTCCACACACATGCACAGTTAAACAACTCGAGTGCAACACACAACATTGGCACTAAACGAGGTCAAAGGGGGACTTTTTGTGTAAGTTTTTTTTCTCTTTTTTTGTTATAGTTACTTCAAGTAACAGCTTGCTTCATATAAATAAGTTAAAACATCTATTTTTTTTTCTTCAAGACAAAGCCATTCAGGACAAAGAGATGAACAGAAAGCAGATCTACTTATACAGGCGCTATAATGGCAATAAGCAGGCTCATGATTAAAAGATGAATTAGGGCAACGAGAACAGGGCTTCTTCACAGAAGGAACACAAGGGAGTTTCAGAAAGTCACCTTAGTACTGACACTATGCGGGATCCGCTAATACTGCTCAGTACTTTAAACGCTCAGACACTCAGGGGCGGAAGGCCCCTCCCGCCGCCGCCATGCTCATGCTTTTCAGCTTATTATCTTTTTTCCACTTCATCCTCCGGTTTTGGAACCAGATTTTAATTTGTCTCTCCGAGAGGCAAAGAGCATGTGCTATTTCAATCCTTCTTCGGCGGGTCAGGTAGCGGTTGAAGTGGAACTCCTTCTCCAGCTCCAGGGTCTGGTAGCGCGTGTAGGCCGTCCGGGCCCTTTTGCCTTCCGGGCCGCCTATGTTGTCTGCAACAGAAAAGTCAGCGGTTTAGCCACCCACTCCTCGGGTCCCTGGCTCCTCAAGTCCGCCAGCCGAGCGAGCCAGGGTCCTGAGCAGTGAATGGGGGCGAAAGGCTCAACAAGTCCTCCCTCCACACCCGCCCACCCCTCCCGAATTTCCTTCCCTCTTCCTTTCTAGAGAGAAAACAATATGATTTTGACTCTGGGAACAAACGGCCCATCTGAAGGGGCAGCCGCGTCCCCGAGGGCCGCCCTGGCTTGCCCTCGCCCCTCTCCTGTCCCCTGGCCCTCCCCTGAGCGCCCTGCGTCCCGCACAGCCCTCCCAGGCCGCGCACCGTTCGCAAAACCACCCAAGTACGGCGCTTCACCACGGTGCCCAAGTGGCCTCCAGGTCACCTTCCTTAAAGTTCCAGCCTTGCGAGCTGCCTCACATTCCAGCCTGTACGCTTGGGGCGCCTGCTTTCTTTTTCCCTTCTCTCTCCCACCAGCCCCCAAACTTCAGAATCCCACTTGCTCTCATCTCGATTATTCCCCCCAAGTCCCTTTTCGGGGGCTCTAATTAGTAACGCTGCTTCCCCAGTGTAGCCCTTCTCATAAATTATCCGCCCTGACAAGCCCGATTCACGGCCCCCATTGCTGTCCTCTACCTCTTTTCGCCCTGCTCGGCTGGTCTGACCAGGAAGCGCCTTCCCAGGCGCTGGGGTTCTAGATGCCTTTTCTTCCCCCCCTCCCTTTTCCCCCTTAACGTCTAAACTTGCCCAGTCAGCCGCTGCCTCTCCCCCTCCTCGACCCTGTTTGTGAGAGCGCAGGGAGCTGCAGAGACCAGAAAAGGGAAGGAAGAAGGCAGGGGAAGAAGAACAGGGAGAGGCAGCTTCGCGGGGCCGAGACAGGCGAGAGCCGGCGAGAGGCAGGGAGAGAGGGCAGCGGAGGAGAAAGGGAGGATCGCGGACCTGGAGCCGCGCCCCCGCGGCCGCGTGGGTTCAGAGAAAGGCTGGCTTTACCATGACTTATGTGCAGCTTGCGCATCCAGGGGTAGATCTGGGGCTGCGCGGGCGGCGCCGGGCTCGGCTCGCTCTGCGCGCTCGCCTGCTCGCTGCTGGCGGGGGTGTCCTCCTCGGCTCCGGACGCCGCGCCAACCCCCTCTCTGCTGCTGATGTGGGTGCTGCTGGCGTTGGCCGTGGCGCTGCTGGAGTTGCCCAGGGAGTTTTTCCCGCCATGGTGGCTGTCGCTGCCGGGCGAGGGGGCCACGGCTGAGCAGGGCAGCGGGTCGGGTGGAGGAGAGTGCGTGGACGTGGCGGGCTGGCTGTACCTGGGCTCGGCGGGCGCCGCGCTGGCGCCGGCCGTGTAGCTGCGGGCGCGCTCCCCGGAGCCAAAGTGGCCGGAGCCCGAGCGGCCGACGCTGAGATCCATGCCATTGTAGCCGTAGCCGTACCTGCCGGAGTGCATGCTCGCCGAGTCCCTGAATTGCTCGCTCACGGAACTATGATCTCCATAATTATGCAACTGGTAGTCCGGGCCATTTGGATAGCGACCGCAAAATGAGTTTACAAAATAAGAGCTCATTTGTTTTTTGATATGTGTGCTTGATTTGTGGCTCGCGGTCGTTTGTGCGTCTATAGCACCCTTGCACAATTTATGATGAATTATGGAAATGACTGGGACATGTACTTGGTTCCCTCCTACGTAGGCACCCAAATATGGGGTACGACTTCGAATCACGTGCTTTTGTTGTCCAGTCGTAAATCCTGCCTGATGACCTCTAGAGGTAAACTCGTGCACTAATGGGGGAGTTGGGTGGAGGCAAGAGGGGTGGCGCGCGCGTCCCGGGCTCGTGCCCGTCGTCCGCTGCCGCCTTTCAGTCGGACTCGAGCGCCACCCGCTGGAGGCGAGGTGCATCGTCCCGCTTCCGACCCCGGGCAGCAAGGGCCGGGGTCGAATTGAGGTTACAGCCCATTATGGCAAAATTATTGCATTTCCCTTGCAGTTCCATTAGGATGTACCAATTGTGAGGCCGTCAGCTGCCGAACGCGCGCCCGGCGAGGATGCAGAGCACTGGGGGAGATGGTGACTCGAATTTTGTTCAACAACTTCTTTGCCCCACTTTACAGCCCCTCTGATTTTGTGTCGAGGTTGGACTCGGTTCTGCCTGTCCTCCCAGTAGCTCTGAATTTTGAAAATACAGCTATCACCTTCGGGGAAGGGAGGAGGTCATTTAGCCAATTGAAGAAATAAATCCTGCTCGCAGCAGCAGCTACAATTACGGCTCTGTTTTCGTGAGCGCATGAGAGACGGTGTCCCTGCCGCTCTTAAATGGCAAGCGTCTATTAAAGATAGCTTTTATGTTGTGTTTTTCCGAGGCGAGGTCAAATTCCATACACTCTTATGATCGGAGTAGATTTTTCTTTCCTGAAAATACGATTTTCGTGCCTTTAGCTTGCTACTTGATTTGCTTAATTATCCAGCCTGGAGGATCTTCACCACCGGGTCCCCTTCCTAGAGCCGACCTGGCCCCAAGTGGGGGGGGGGAGTTCTGGGTGAACCCAGCAAGTGGGTCCAGGCTCCCCGCAGCCACAGAGGCTGCTTGGGAGCTGGGGATCCGTGGGCCAGGTGGTCAGGGTCTTTCTTAGACCTCCAAGAGTGAAACGAGGGCGTTAGTTGAAGCATGTTGTCACAGTGCTCAGCAGCTCCGTGGTTGTTTTCCCGGGTTCCGGAAGATGAAAGTAAATCACAAACACAGCCAAGAGGCAAGGGGGACCTCCTCGCTGGAAGCCGGGTGGCGTAGGCGCCCCTGGCACGTCTGGAAGCCGGGGCTGCAGCCTCTCCCATGGCCCTAGGCCCCCTCTGAAGGTCCTCAGAGCTGTGGCAACAGCCCTGGCGCGGTGTCGCAGGCGGGCAGCGGGAATCGAATGTAGGGAGCCTGTGGAGCAGTTGCTCCCGCGCTGTGAAGCGCCACCCGGGTGCAAGCTGGCCATACTCGCCGAGACTACGGCTCCTCCACCCGCGGCTTCACCAGGCCCAATGGCTCAGCTTTCTGGAGCGTGGGATGGGCGCTTTGTTCCTCACAATTCTTGCTGTCTGGAGGCAGCCTGGGAGGCCATGGCAGGGCTAGGGCCCTAGTCCTAAGGCCCTCTCTTCCCAGCGATCGGAGGAGATTTGGTGGTGCCCCTCCGGGACTGGATGACAAGGGCCCGGAGTCAGAGATGCCCAGACTCCAACCGGGGCTAGGGTCTTTGGCTCGTTCCTCCCCAGCTACCCCAACACCGATAGTGGCCTCCTGCTCCCAACCAGGGGGAGCCTCGCACCAGAGTTGGAGATGAAATCAGGGTGCACCTGGGGACCCCAGAGCCCGTTTGGGCGCCTTTGGGAGTCGGACTATGTATATGCAATGAACCCCAGTACTCTGGTGGGGTTAGTTTTGTTGTTTTTGTAAGAAATGCTCAGACGCTTGCAGAGCTCCGGACTCCCCTGAAGCTGCAGCCCTCTGTTGAGAAGAGGCAGGGAGAAAAGTTGGGGAGCAGACGAAGGCAAGGGGGCAAAGCCAAGGGAAGTTGCGACGCTCGCCTGGTCCTTGATCCAAGGTCTACTCGCCCGCCTTTGCTTCTGCGTCCTCCCCGCTGGGCTGCGTGGAATTGATGAGTTTATTCTCCTTTTTCCACTTCATGCGGCGGTTCTGGAACCAGATCTTGATCTGGCGCTCAGTGAGGCAGAGCGCGTTGGCGATCTCGATGCGGCGGCGCCGGGTCAGGTAGCGGTTGAAGTGGAACTCCTTCTCCAGCTCCAGCGTCTGGTAGCGCGTGTAGGTCTGGCGGC